TTTCTACCAGATGATTCCTTTCCTTTGAGAGGTCAAGCATTTTTTTGTAATGTCTATGCATTCACTAGGAAAAAAAAAAAGCAGATTGCAGGACTCTATAACTTTTCCAAGAACTTCTCTCTATCATTATCTATCAAACAGGAAATTAAAGGCACTGAATGTGCCTCAGGGTCTTAATGGTTTGATTCTGTTGAGTTGTTATATTAACAGATGACTATTTGTGGGGAAGAGAGAGGTTCCCTAAGGTATGAGGCATATATCAATAAAATCTTACTTTGAGTTTAAAAGAATGCAAGGGACAACTGCAGAGAACATAAGACTTTACAAAGCACTTTTATTAAGAAATAATAAATACTAGGGAAATATTAGGGAGTATTAGGATATTAGGAAATATTAGTAAAAATGACATCTCATCTTTTTATGTCTTGCCTGGGAAATGGCGAGAAAAAGGAAAAGAAGGAAGGGGGGCACACGGGGAAGGAAAGAGAAACAATGTATAGTCTGCTGCAAAATGACATTCAAAACTTCCATCTTTGCAGGTGAAGAAAACAGTTACACAAAGATAAAGCTAATGCTCATTTTCAGATAATGACACAGGAACTATGATGAGCAGAGAAAAGCCTTTCAGAAGCCCTCCTTTTCCATGCAAAGCCCATTCTCATAAGCAGCATTATACGGTTATATCATATGGATTGAGGGAAAAAGAGAACTGACGCAATATGAAAACTTTTTTGAACAACTGTTTATCTTGCTGTTGTTTTTCAGCCATTCCGTTGTGTCAGACTCTGTGATCCCATGGACCACAGCACACCAGGCTTCCGTGACCTTCACCATCTCCTGGAGTTTGCTCAAACTCATGTCCATTAATTTATCTTATGAGACCTTAAGGTCAGGTGGGACTGTGGTTTCTGTATTTTAGAGAAGGAAGTAGAATCCCTTTTCTCTCAATAGATGTGTAATTTCTGGAGAAAAGGAATGGCATCATACTTATAATTGTGTCTCCAATGTCTATCACAGAGACTGGGATAGAGCCTAGCCCAGAAAGACACTTCACATTTATATTCATAAGTAATACAGTCAGTTAGCTAAACTGAATGGTGACCAGGATGAGGCAAGGATAGGGCTCTGGGGATTGCTAAGTGAGAAAATATTATTATTTGGGGTTTCTGCCTTGAAAGCTCAAATAACTCAGCACCCTTCAAGCCATTACTTCATTTGGGAAAATGAGAATAGTTTAAGTATTTTTGAAACAGTCTGGCTTAAATACAAACAAGGTTTTAGACTTTGTCATACTAACTGTTTTTCAGGAAACAAAATAAATATCCATCCTAATAAGTTTATTTTCAAACTTCCCAGATAATATTGGAATGAATGCACTTTCAGAGCCTCCAAACTGACATACCTCCATGAGCTTTTTATTTTTTTCAACAACTATTTAAATCCCACTTTCACTGATAAAGATTCAACTAAAATCCTCATTTTATATGTTTCCTTAAATCATTATTATAGTCAGTAGAGTTTGGCTTTGAGATCATGGGGACAAAGCTGTTTATTGTCACATCTCCAGTGTCCAGTATCTTATTGGTTGCTTGATAAGTATTTGTTGGTTGAATGGGACAATGGTTTCAGTTTTTCATTCATTTTTATAAACACTTTTTGTTTTATGATGCTTTACCAATATATAAACTGCTCCTACATTTTATATAAACACTTAGCAAAGAGGAAATAACTTTAGAGAAGTAATAACTGATGTCATAGCAAAATGAACAGTTTATCGAAAGAACTACCCCAAGAGTAAAAGAGGTAAAGAGGTTCTTCTTATAATTGATGAACCCACTCCCCACCGTGAAATTATGAAAATAACCAAGGCCATATAAAAGTATCAATCATTTGATGAATGCATATTTACTAAACACTGCATGTGTCTCATTTAAAATGCATTCTCTCAATGAGATAGAAATATACAATGTGGTAGTTATTACTGTGGCCATTTTATCTGTGAAAAAAAGATTTAGAAAAATCATGTATTTATAAATGATACATCTAGTTTTGAAATCCAGCCTATACAATACGCCACTTTCCCACATTTTGTTCTGTTGTCATGTGTCAAAGAGTGTTGAAGAACTTCACTGGAGAAAGGCTAGAATAGAAAGCTCCATTATTTCCATATCTAAGATTCCAAGGTGGGGACCTTATATCAGCCAGCAAATAATTAACCAACTATTAAATAAGATTATAATATAATCATCAATCCCATTATACAAGGCTTTTAAGAATTATCTTATTCAAACATACTCAGCAAAATAAAATGGAATAGACCCTCTAAAAGTATTAATTTATTTTCAAAGAGGTTTGATTTATTTTCCAAAGAACATTATCTGCCAACCCACATGACTTAGGTATTTCACTCTATTGACATGGTTCTCTCAGAAACTGACTTTGTTAAACTGAAACACCAAATGGAATAGAACTTAAAGGAAGTTAAACTAATGTAATTCTCCAGCATTAAAGAAAAAGTGCTTGTAATTATACCAATTCCCTGCAATATGATCTGAAAATCAGGGAAAACTTAACAACATAAAAGAGACTTCTTTTGAATGTCCTGGGTTGACTGCATATTCAACAACATTCTGCACACCAATAGCTTATCTTATTTGATTATTAGCTTGTATTTAATTTCCCCTGGCAAATAATTCACCTTTGTAAATAATCATTTTGCACTGCAAAGCAATTCTCATACATTTATTGGAATGGATTTTAAACAGTAGCCATCGCTAAGAGGCTACTGGAAATATAATTAGAAGAGTGAGTAGCTACATGCGTGGGGGAAGGGTCGCAAGTTGTGTGAGGAAAGGAGCTAAAAAGTTAGTTACTGGTGCTTCTCAATTACATACATCTTCCGGACAGCCATGCAAACCTTCCACAACTCTCAGGCCTTTTCGGGGGTTTTAAAAGGAGCATGAGGCTACTGTTTAGTATGATCAGTATTTCTGGAACTAACTCTAAGGTATAGCCTATCAGATTAAGTAAAAAAATAAAAATAAAACATATATCTCTGACAGTAACTTTACCATTAAATGATTAAATGAAAAACATCACAGGAGAATGTTAAAGCTATGGAGGATTATCTCGTCCATATCTTTCATTTAATAGAAGAAAACCTGGGGTCAGAGAACGGAGATTCTCTAGCACAGCCAGTATAAGACCTATGATTTTGACTCCCAATTTTCCCATTAAACCTACGCCTCCTCAGAGCATCATCCATGAAGTTGACTGTGCATGTTTCAGTAACCTTACTGCCTAAGGTGCTTGTCAGCATCTGGAGCAGTCACTCGTGTTATCCTTCAGAACAGAAGAGATCGTGTGACTTCTAATCACTTACGAAAGTGAATTTTCAGTTATTTCATGTGCTGTTCTCTCTCCATCTCTTCCCCTCTCTCCTTAGAGAATCACCATAGTAGCCACAAAAGTGGTTTTACACAAACAGGCAAGACACCCCCACCACCACAGTTTTTCACAATGAAAAAAAAAAGTGAAGGCATGTACCTAAGAGTAAGGGGACGTGAACTCATACATTAGGGGGCTAAGACTGCTCAAATTCCTAGCTCTGTAAGTCTTTCTCAGGGAGTGCCGGCTCCCAGAGTCCACCAAAAAAAGTTTCAGACGCTGAGCAAAGAATGGTAACCTGCTTCGAAAACCTTCAAACCTCATTTCCTTGGGAACACCAATCACCTTTACAAGAAATCTGGGGTGGGACAGTTATTCACGAGAAACTCACTGAATAACCACGCCACCTCTGGATAACATTTCTGAGTGTTGATTTCAAGTGGATTGTATAAGCTCAGAGAAAAATACACAACTGGGGGCAACATGAGCTTGGCTCCAGATTTTTCTGTTTAAAATAAAAATAGGCTCCTCAGCTTGCAAAGTGCCAGACTGCAAACTGATACGTTTTGTGTCATCTCAAGTCCATCCACCACTCCAGCAAACCCTGACAGTGGGTCCTGCGGGTCCGGGTGAGTTTGGAAGGAGTGACAAGTTCAGGAGCTGGCAGCTCGGCTGTCACAAGCCCAGTCGCCAGCTAAGTATAGAAAGAGATCCCAAGCCGAGAGCCACCTAATGCGTCCCCTTTCCGAGGATTTATCTGCTCTCGGAGCCTCTGTGCATTAGCGATCAGGGTCCCGTCATGAGTCATGACCGAGTTATCAAACCCAGCCACAGACGCCGGGACATCACTGAGGTCCCCGGGCCCCCAAACCCAGCCGGCTCCCAGAGAGAGCAGAACAAGTCTGAGCTCTGTCACTCTCCCAACAGGCAGACACATAAACAAACAATAAAAGGAATTGTTTGTTCCCCTCCAGGGAGGCAGCATGCATTAAAAAAAGACATGAACCTCATCCTACCTTGCATCCAAACATCAACGACAAAGTGTTGTTGGTGCAAGCAACTTTGCAGTGGCAAATCATTGGTGTAAAACAGTCAGGGTCCTTAACAACAGGGGACATTCCTTTCGAGCTGCGGCAGTGGCAGCTCGCTGGGGGACCCGACCACGGTGCTCACCCGGCACATGGAGCGACAGCCTAGAGGCGGCGGCCACTTCGATCGCTGCCCCCTGCGCCCCGCGCGGCCATCCCAGCGCCGGGGTAGAAGCCACGCCGCGGGCAAGTACCAAGCGTCTCGGGGTCTCCCTTCCCTGGGGAACGAGGCGTGGGGGGAGGGACAGAACCAAGAAGGGCTTTCCACCCCCCCCCTCCTTTTGGTGAATTTGGGGGAGGGAGTAAATTTAAAAAAAAAAATTCAAAAAATAAAAATAAAAAGGAAGCCGGGCGCTTAGAGGAGGGTTCGAAGGAGGTGGGGCAGTATTACCATGTAAAAGAATGTACCCGCCTACTCGCCCCAGTCACACAAGATTGTCATGCGAGCTGAAGGGGGCTGAAATTATTCTCCCTGAAGGGGAAAAAAAAAAAAAATACTGCAGCTCCCGGTTTGGTAAAAAGCCAATGGCTTGCTGCAATCCAGAGTCACCGTGGGGAGCGCTGGCCGGACGAGTGGGATGGGAGGGGGTGCGCGCGCGGCTCGCCAGCCTCGCCCAGGCAGCCCGCGCGCCCCGGGCCCCCCCGAGGAGTCCCGGGGTTCCAGTGGGGGTGCTCCGGGCGCTGCTGGGACCCGGAGATCTCACTGGGCTCCGCTTGCCTCTGCTGCCCTCGGAGAGGCGACCTCCGAGGCCGAGCTGCCCAGGTGAGGGGAGAGGCCCGCCTGGAGCCCTGCAGAGGGCATCCTCCCCTCCCTCCGACTTCAGCTTGCCTGAGTTGAGGCCGGTACCGGCACCTGGGCCAGAAGTGGGCTGAAAACGGCTTCCCGAGGGCCCTACACCTCCTTGACTTCAGTGTCAGCGAGCCTACTCACGCCCTGGGTGGTAGATTTGGCTTCAGCCAGGGCTTTATCTGGTACAACATTTTTTTTTTTAATTCAAAACGGAAGAGTCCGCCCCCTCCCTACCTTGACGTCTTAGGGGCTCTAGGAAGCTCCAGAAGTATTACTGTTGTTCCGGAAGTATGAATGACAAGATTGGTGGATGCTGTATTGATTTTTCCTTTTTCTTTTTTTTTTTTTAAGTGAGGCTGTCAAAATTGCAAAAGATCAAAAAAATAAAAATCAGCATGTGGCTGGCCCAGCTGCAAAATTGCTTGTCAGAGACAAAAAAAAAAAAGAAAGAAAGCAAGCAAAGAAACTGTGATAGTAGGTTGCAGAATAGGAAATGGGTAGAACTAGCCCTCTCTGGGCGCCACCTGAGTGCTTGGCACTATGCCTCACAGATGGCTGGCGGAAAGAGAGCAAGTCATCAGGATGTGGAATCAGACTCTGGCTCTGGTGCTGAGGATGGCTTTGTGCAAGTCAGAGTGTTTGAGCCTCAGTTTGCTTACTGGGCTCATTAACCCCTACCTTGCAGAGCTGTCATGAAGACTAGAGATGGTAAACAACACCTTCCTGTGGTAAGCCTTGGTAGTCCACGGTAGGGGCTCTGTATTTAAACAGCTTGTTGTCATTCAGTTGCTCAGTCGTGTCTGACTCTTTGCAACTCCATGGACTGCAGCGCACCAGGCTTCCCTGTCTGTCCTTCACTGTCTCCCAGAGTGTGCTCAAAATCATGTCCATTGAGTCAGTGATGTCATCCAACCATCTCATCCTCTGTTGCCTCTTTCTCCTCTTGCCCTCAATCTTTCCCAGCATCAGGGTCTTTTCTAGTGAGTCAGCTCTTTGCATCAGGTGGCCAAAGTACTGGAGCTTCAGCTTCAGCATCTGTCCTTCCAGTGAATATTCAACTTACATAGCTTGGCTCTTGTCTTAGCCCGAGAGGTAGATGTTACTGGACACATTTTTTGCAGGGAAAAATAACTGACGATCTAAGGGCTATGTCACTTCCCCAAGTCACACAATCAATAAGCCATGAAGGTGAGATTCAAAGAAAATTGATGGACTATAAGAAAGCATTATCACGGGGGACATCACACATCTCTCCAGAAGCATGCTCTAAATTTTCCAGATTTACTGGAGAACAATCAGGCTTGTCCCATTCACATAAACGTAGTCATTGCAAAAGTCTCTAAGTGGTCCATGAACTCAGATCTCACTGGAAACAGAGCAACTTAGTCTTCAATATCTATAGCAAGCTCTGCTGGAACCATGCTATCCTGATGTAGTTTTCCCAGAACACCAGACCACTTGTCTTCTAAATTAATAGAAGTTCAAATACCACTATGGCCTTCAACTTACAAAGTTCCAGGAAGAACAAAAGAAACAAAATAACTTGCAAGCTGTCAAGTCAAATGCAGTATCCTATAAAATTTCCCTCACCTGCTCACATCCAAAATAGCTCAGCCTCCCTCCTGTCCCAAGTTAATGGAAACTAAATCAAATCACATCTGAATTCTGTGGAGTGGTTTTAAAAATAGAAAGAAAGAAAGAAAACAGAAAAGAATGATAAAATAAAAAAATGCATTCTCAGGCTCACCCCCTACATTCTCATTCCATAGGCCAAGACGATATCAAGAAATCTACATTTTTAATCAGCCCCCTGATGAGAGGAATATGTGTCCTGCCTCCAAAATGAAGACCTCTTGAAGGGAAATCAATATGGAGCAAAGCATGAGCAAAGATCAGCAGGGAAACAGTCGAAGTTGAGGCAAATCTGGTTCTAACTGAAGAGGGCAGCTGTGTCTAAAGTTTTGTGATCATGACACTAAATGTAGGCATCCTTTCCTAGTTGATTTCTCTAATAGGAATTGGGGTTAACTCAATCCAGTGCATATCTAGGGGCCTCCAGGTCTCAGGAGGTGACACATATTTGTGCTCAAACACACCAGGGCACATTGTAGGGGTGGGACTCTGCTCTGGTGCCTACTGGGTAATCTTAAAGTCACGTTCACAGACTAAGTGTATCCCTCAGCATTTTTTCCCTTTCTGTTAGCATAAAATGTGTGATTGTGTGAGCATTTCCACCTACAGAGCGTCTATAATTATGGCTGTTTTTCCAAAGGAGAATGGATTCTAAAAAAGTTGTACAATATTTCCCTTATTCATTAGCCTATAATTTGGATTTCAAACACCCCAAAAGTATTGTATGCTCTATATTGTGATGTTCCAATAATAACTAACACAGTCTTTCCCTAATGAATTACCCAGGCTAAGGCTGACCTCCTATTCTAGGGCAGCATTACAGGCTGCTAGGCTCAAGTCATTTCCCATTTTACAGCTTGTGCTGGTTTAGGTTAACAAAGACAAATGACAAAATATAAAGGAGAATGTATATTCCATTTCTTGATCTTCTATTGTTTAACTCTAATCAATGAAACTTCATTGATTATACCTCTCTCTCCACACACACACACGTGTGTGTCTATGTATATCTGTTATCTGTTCATATACATCTGACAAAATGATTTTCCTTAATTCTTGTCTCTTGATAATAGCTCTGGAGTGAAGTGAAAGTGGGGGAGGAGAGAAAATGTTGTTTCCATGACAATGCATTCCTTGGTTACAGGCAGTAACCACTATGGTTAACAAAATGAATCACTGTTACCTTAAGATATGAACACACTGCATTATTGGTCTGAAAAGCTAATTTGGGAGTATACTGCATGGGGGTGTACTGCAGTAATTTTAGGAGAAGATATTACTAGGGAATGCCAGGAGATGATGCACTGATTTTAATAGTCAAAATAACCACCCTTAATTACCTCAGTGATTGGTAACATTTACAGTTCTTAATAACCATTACCTTTGCAAAATAATATGTGACAATTACACACTCTTAGACATTTTTCCTTCTTACAACTTTTCTCAAAATAGACTCACAATCATAAAAGTCAGGATTATCAAAAAATATGATCAGGGTTTAATTTATTCTTTTATTTATTGCTATCATTATTATTCCTAATCCAAAATCAGGACAAGGCAAGAGGTATTAGTTATTGACTTAGCTTTTTTCTTCCTTTATTGAGCCCTTCCTCAACAATTTTTTTAAGAAGAGGTGGTTCATGGTGGAAGGGAAAATAGTGTAATGGACACCAGGAGCCACGGTGTTTCTTCCTATTGACTGTGTGACTTTGAGCAAGTCACTCAGATTCTCTGAGCCACAATTCCCTTGTCCATTAAGATAAAATGGGTACACTAGAGTATCTCTAAGTTTACTTTCAGTGCTGAAGTTCTCGTGGTTCTTACAAATAAAGGATCTGAAAGATGTAAAGGAAATTTGAGAAGACATTCAGTCACCAGTCTCAGAAAATAAACTCTTCTATAGTGCTTACTATTTGATATGCTTTACTATATTATTTAAATTATATGCAGAGTACATCATGAGAAATGCTGGGCTGGATGAAGCACAAGCTGGAATCAAGATTGCTGGGAGAAATATCAATTTACCTCAGATATGCAGATGACACCACCCTTATGGCAGAAAGTGAAGAAGAACTAAAGAGCCTCTTGATGAAAGTGAAAGAGGAGAGTGAAAAATTTGGCTTAAAGCTCAATATTCAGAAAACTAACATCATGGCATCTGGTCCCATCACTTCATGGCAAATAGATGGGGAGACAGTGGCTGACTTTATTTTTCTGGGCTCCAAAATCACTGCAGATGGTGATTGCAGCCATGAAATTAAAAGACGCTTACTCCTTGGAAGGAAAGTTATGACCAACCTAGATAGCATATTAAAAAGCAGAGACATTACTTTGCCAACAAAGGTCCGTCTGGTCAAGGCTATGGTTTTTCCAGTGGTCATGTATGGATATGAGAGTTGGACTGTGAAGAAAGCTGAGTGCCGAAAAATTGATGCTTTTGAACTATGGTGCTGGAGAAGACTCTTGAGAGTCCCTTGGACTGCAAGGAGATCCAACCAGTCCATCCTGAAGGAGATCAGTCCTGAGTGTTCATTGGAAGGACTGATGCTGACGCGGAAACTCCAATACTTTGGCCGCCTGATACGAACAGCTGACTCATTTGAAGAGACCCTGATGCTGGGAAAGATTGAGGGCAGGAGGAAAAGGGGACGACAGAGGATGAGATGGTTGGATGGCATGACCGACTTGATGGACGTGGGTTTGGGTGGACTCCGGGAGTTGGTGATGGACAGGGAAGCCTGGTATGCTGTGGTTCACGGGGTTGCAAAGAGTCGGACACAACTGAGCGACTAAACTGAACTGAACTGGACTGAACTATAGTGTTTGGTATATGTAGTGTTATCAGTTCAGCAGTGTGCTGAACCCAGATTTTACCCTTGAGAGCCAACTGTACCTAATTCCAACCTTTCATGATATCATGCTGGTAGTTTGAAATCAGCCATGGAGGAAGTATTTCCACATAAATTGGAAAACGCTACATATCAAGACTTTTTTTTTCTTCAGAGAAGCATCTGTCGGCACAGCACTGGTTTAAGTACTTTATCTACATTAACCTTTTTAATCCTCACAACCTCTCAAACTTACACACACACAAAAACAGGAAACTGAATCACAGAGAAATTAAATAATTTTCCCAGCTAACAAAATTGATAGACAAGTAAACTAAATGAATCAGCTAACAAAAAAGCCTTGATGGCTTTCAATAACAAATGTTTATTTCTTCCTTATGTGAGACATCCTTCATAGTGTGACCCTGACTCTAACCCATGTTGTCCCATGAACAGAAGGGCAGCCTCTATCAGGGGCATGATGTTTTCATGGCAGAAGTAAAAAAAAAAAAAAAAAAGTGATCAGTGACTCCGTATGCAGTGGATCTTAACATTTCTATTCAGATATGAAAACAATATCCCTGTTCGCATTTTATTAGCCAAGGCATGTCATGTGGCCAAAC